ACAAGAGAAGGTGATCCCAGAAGTCAGAGAACTTGTTGAGAGAAGATAATCTTACACTTGTGGCAGCAGATGTCAAGCCTAGGTGTCCGTATTACCTGGAGGCGTTTCAAGTTTTCCATTCTCAACTCCCACCCCAGAGAAATTCTGACTCAGTGGATCAGGTGTGGGGTCTTGAGCACTGGTGGTTTTTAGAAGCTCCCCCGGAGGATTCTGATATGTATCCAAAGTTGAGAAGTACTGCTTTAGACTACAAAGAGCTTTTACATATATTATCCCGAGTTTTGTATATATAAAAAGAGGAAAAGAGGAGACATTTGTAATGTCCTATTGACTATATAAGGAAACAGGAAGGGATAAGAGTAGTAATTGTGAAAATGAAAGGATTGCAGAAAAATGAGTTTTCAAAAGTTGAAGGAAAATAACTGACCTCTGCAGGGCTAAAACTCGGGATGATATAAATCCATGGAGTGTGGAACATCAAGGAGTATGTTGTATGTCCATATTTCCTGCTGTGTGTGGAGTATTCTTGACATGACAACAAAATTCCCTACCAAGAGAAGTCTGAAAACTGTCAACTAATATTTGGTGCCTATTATTTCCTAAAACTTTGTTGAGTCCACTCTGTAAATGAGAAATATTGGCTAAGAGGAGAAAACATTTGTTAGTCAAAAAGTCTGTTAGAAAACATGTTAATATTTCTCTGTGCATTTTGGGGCTGTGCTCATGTCTACATGTCTAGACAAACAGCAAGCCTGGACAGTGATCCTAACAGCTTTCAGAGAGTTATAATTGATAATTCTGTAGGTAAAAGTGGCAAGTAACAACCTTGGTTATAACTGAAGGATGAAGAACAGCCAACTCTGGGTTCTTGGATCAATGGGAAATAGAAGTCAAGTCACAACGAGGCAGAAGAAAAGTAAGTTGTAATCAGAAAATGTCGAGTTTTAAGATTTTACAAGTGAGTGATGACAAAGCTTAGGCCATGATCAAGAGAGTGAGTTGCCACTACTGTCAACAAAGCAGAGGCTAAACAGTCATCTACATGTCATGTCAGCTATTAAGATGGAGAAGAGCCGCACTTCAAGTCAAGACAATCTTCTAGGCCCTAAGTATTTAAGATAAGGAATTTCAGTTAATTACCCTCCTTCTCTCTAGTTTCTAACCAATAAAAATGGCTAATCATAACAATAACAATAGTTCAGCACTCACTATGTGTCAGCATTGTTCCAAACACTTTGCATATATTCAAATATTCACAATATTTGAATATTCAAATATTTGAATATTCAAATATTCAATTTCGTGACAGGTGGCATTATCGTCAAAACTGAGACATGGTGTAAGCAACTTGCTTGGTATGGGTTATAAATGCTGGGGAGAAGATGTGGACAGAGTTGGGGTGAGAGAATATTTTATGGAAAGTATGAGCCAAAGAAAGTGAAGAGAGTGTAGGAAGAAGTCTGCCTGTCAATGTATTTTGCACATCAGCAGGGGCCTGGCGAGAAATGGGTCTGAATGAAAGAGATTCCTAAAAACCAGTGTTCACAGTTTGAGCCTGGTTTGGAGGGAGGAGGCAGGAGGACAATGACATAATCAGAACTATCTTGAGATGATTAAGTTTGGGATATGAAGAAATTGGAGAGGGGCTGGAGCGAAAGGACAAAAGTCAGGGTTCCTTTGGTCCTGATTATATGACAGGTAGTGAATGTATGAACGAGGAAGTGGTAGCTAAAGGTTAGATGAACAGACAAATTTGATATATGTTGCAAACATCAAAAGCAACGTTTTGGTAACTGTTTGGATACAGAGGATGAGGGAGAGGGAAGAATTTAAATTGAATCCAAGGTTTCAATCCCAGTGACTGAGTGAACTATTGGCAGAAATTCAGGAGAGACACTTTGTAGGGGCAAGAGGGACAGCTGGACTTTCAAAATGTGTAACTTGTTGTGTGAGGAGGCCATCAAGTGGTTGGCTGCAGAGGAAATTGGAAACAAAATTGGAACTTAGAGTCTGGGCTAAAGATGAAGCTTTTGGCATCATTTGCATGGTGGTGATATGGTTAACTTGGGGCAGGGAAGCGGGGTATGAAATCTCTGAAGGTAGGAAAAGGCAGAGAATAGAGATCCTTGAAAGACATCTAAATTTGGACACAATAAGGAGGAAGAGGAGACAGAAGGAGAGTGTAACAGAAGGTTAGGAACACTTCAAATTATGCCTCACAGATCACAAGGAAATGGAAGGTTCCAGAAAAGAGCCTATTTAGTAAACCCTCAGAGAAGCCAGGAAGAATAAAGCCATTTGGAGTAGTTGGTTTGAAGGTTATAAGGATCAAAAGTAGCAATAGAAAAATAGCAGGTGGCCTTGGATGGGAAGGAGGGAGTAAATCATTGCAGAC